CACACACACACACACACACACACACACACACACACACACACACACACACACACACACACAGAGTGGTAAACAATCCTGTCCAAGACAAAGGGATGTAGAACATGTTTACACTAACATCCTCAACAGCTCTCTCTTGCATCTCTGTCCCTATCAGATTCATATGTAGGGACTCTCTCAAGAATGGTGCAGTTTGTCTTTCTCTAAAAGTGGTTTCATTACCCTCAGAGGAGATTAACTGACAGGGAAGGATTTCAAGCCAGATGCCAAGGCCACGCTGATTGTGGCACCACTTTTGTGATTAAAAAATATAATGGGGGGCTGGGAAGGTGGCTCAGTGGTACAGTGCTTTTGCCTTGCATGCATGAGGCCCTGGGTTCAATTCCTCAGCACCACATAAGCAGAAAAAGCTGGAAGTGGTGCTGTGGCTCAAGTGGTAGTGCACTAGCCTTGAATTGAAGAGCCAAGGGACAGCGTCCAGGCCCCATGACCAACAAAATAAAATAAGTATATATATATTTATATATATATATATATATATAATGGCACTGGAAAAATCCAAAATTGTTAGCTTTCTTTTCAATGTGAATGAAAACCTAATAGATTCTAAAATGTAATCCACAGCATATGACTTTTTTTTTTTTTTTAAAAGGGTGTTAGTGACTCATGCTTGTAATCCTAGCTACATAGGAGGCTGAGATTTGAGGATTGGAGGTAGGAAAGTCTGTGAGATTCTTTTCTGCAATTAATTATTAGAAAGCTGGAAGTGGAGCTATGACTCAAAGTGGTAAAGCATAAAAAAAGGTCAGGGACAGCACCCAAACCCAGAGATTAAGCCCATAACCACCACCCATGACAACAACAACAACAACAACATCAACAAATCTTTCAAGTATTGCATTAAACAATGAGTCAGCAAATTCTATGCACATGCTAAATTAAAGCTACCTCCAAACTGAATGTAACTTCAGAAAGAATAAATGAGTAAAACCAAACATACCTATTCCTTAGGTTGAAAGTAACAGTAAGAACTTTGTAATTATTTTAACCTTTATGTGTTTTATTTATTTATTTTGTGCCGGTCTTAGGGCTTGAAGTGAGGGCCTAGATGCTGTCTCTGGGCTTTTGTGCTCAAGTCTAATGCTCTATATTTGAGCCACAACTCCACTTTCAGCTTTTTGGTGCTTAATTGAAGATACAAGAGTCACAGACTTTCCTTCTCAGGCTGGTTTCAAACCTCACAACCCTCAGACTTTAGCCTCTTGAATAGCTAGGATTACAAGCATGAGCCACTGGTGCCAGACTATGTGGATTTCTTTTATAAAACAAAACAAAAGGGACTTTTGTTAAATATTTTGTCAAATATTTGTTAAATATTTGGGTGTTTCATCAGGTTCAGCACTTTATGGATTTTCAAGTAGCCTATACCACTGGTAAATTATAATACTTTTACATTCTTCTTATGGGAGTAAAATCATCAGTTTTCTCCAAATTCTCAGGTATACTCTAAAATAAGACTTGAAATACTTATCAAAATGAATTCTAGGAAATGGAAAAGCAAACAAATATAAAATAAGATGGACATGTATAGTCCCCAATGTTGTGGATGAAAATTACCAGGGCATTCGTTTTTCACTGAGGTTTTTGAATTGGAAAAGAAATAAATGAGGCAGAGTGATTAGGCAGGAGAAGCAGAGGATTTGCATAAACCCAGGCAGAGTACACATTTTTGACAGGATCCTGAAGTTATTTGCATGTGTGAGCCTCAATTTTCTTATTTGTGAAGGGAGGATACTATTATTGGTCTCACAATGGCTGAAACAGATAATGATTACCAAACTCATAAGCCTAGTCTCCTTTCAAGTTTGTGGTTATGTGTCAATGTAGACTTTTCTGAAACAGGCCTGTGAACTTTCTTGCATTGGGTTGAACAGTGTCCTTTCAAAATTTACATCTATCTATCTATCTATCTAGAAAATATGAATAGGACATCATTTGGAAATAGGGTCTTTTTTGGGGGGGAGGTCTGGTCATGGGGCCTGAACTCTGGGCCTGGGTGCTGTCCCTCAGCTCTTCAGCTCAAGGCTAATGCTCTACCACTTGAGCCACAGTACCACTTCTGGCTTTTTTCTTTTTGCTTATGTGGTGCTGAGGAATCGAACCCAGGGCCTTATGCATGCAAGGCAAGCGCTCTACCACTGAGTCACCTTCCCAGCCCCGGAAATAGGGTCTTTATACAATCTAATAAAGTTAAAAGGAGGTCATTATGGATACCCAAGGGCCCTAAACTTAATACTGGAGTCCTCGTAAGAAAAGCACATGAAGTCAGACAAGAAAGGTCATGTGGTGATGGAGGCAGAAAATAGAGTGACACAGCTACAGGTTAGGAATGCCAAGACTGCTGACAATCACCAGAAGCCAAGAGGAGGCAAGGAAAGATGGTTCCATGGAGCCTCCAGAGGAAGCTGAGTCTATGACACTCTGACTCAGCCTTCTGGCCCCCAGAACAGTGGAGGAATACATTTCTATTATTTTAAGCTACCCAGGTTGTGTTACAGCAGCTTTGAGAAATTAATATAGTATTGATCATGAAAACATTCTGATCTATTACATAGAAAAGTATATATGTATATATATTTTGCTACTTTTTTTTTTTTTTTGTCCCGTCATGGGGCCTGAACTCTGAGCCTGGGCGCTGTCCCTCAGCTCTTCAGCTCAAGGCTAGAGCTCTACCACTTGAGCCACAGCGCCACTTCCAGCTTTTTTCTTTTTGCTTATATGGTGCTGAGGAATCAAACCCAGGGCCTCATGCATGCAAGGCAAGCGCTCTACCACTGAGCCACCTTCCCAGCCCATGTATATATATTTTAAGGGCTGATAATAGCATGTAGATTTATGTTCCACTCTCGTTGGATATGTCTTTTTTAAAAACACATTTTAGTAGTATGTTAGTTAGAGATTATGGTTACAAATAATTAAGATTCGAACAGGTGTTTTAAGAAATGTGTCTGGAGGGTGGCCATGGGGAAATGAAGGAATGGAGAAAGAGATCCATTAGAAGATCTCAATATCTAAACAAGAGAAGACAGACCAAGCCAGGATCAAGCCAGATGAGCAGAGCATTCAGAGCCACTGAAGGCAGCTCTACCATCTGGCTTGTCTTTTTCTTCCTATGTGTCATCTTCATACCTCTATCTAGAGCCCACCTCTACTTATCAGGAGAAAATATGACTGTCAATACTACCCCAAATTTATCTTTTACAGAGCTTATTTCTGAAGAAAGACCAACTCCATTTTCTGGGTCTCAAGAGCAAACAGCCCAGTGGTAGACTCTGATGGACCTAGTCTACCGTAGATGTCCACTCCTGAACTACCTCTAACAGCCCTGTGGCCAGATAGTTGCCAGAAGAAGAGATAGAAGGTGACAGTATATAGAATGAACAGGTCTAATGTCCCTATTCAACAAAGAAGTGGTTTCACTTTAAAAAAAAAAAAAAAACACAAAACTACAAATTCTGAATAAAAAACTAAAATGAAGTGTATGAAGGGGTAGAGAATTACAAATAAAGAAGTTATAGATAAATCAAATATAAATACATTGATAAAGAACTTCTGAAGAACCAAAAAGTATATCATTTTATCTATATGACTATAAATAAAAATTGAGTGACAAAGTGTTTTCTCTACCAGAAGAAAAGTTATTGTAAACAAAAGATTAAGCAGCCATTTTTAATTTGGAGATTTACTCTGAAGAAAACTCTTTGGCAGTAAAGAAATATAATTCATTACTAGTAAACATTTGATTGCCTGACATGGGGAGGGCACTGAAGTGCCATGACATTATTTTCAGAGACAATTAAGTCAACATAAAACTTGTATCAAGGAAATAATCACTTACCATGGTACTAGGTTCTCTTTCAGCACGATCAGATTCAAAAGACTTAATTTTACTGGCACTCATTTTATCAGTATCAGCAATGATATAATGTCTAGGCGAGTAAGCATTGGACAAGCTTCCAACTAGCCTCAGGATCTCCATGGTATGCCCACCTGAAAATGAAAGTAAGGCTAAGATTAAGAAACCCACAATGGACATTATCTATTTGGTCATGCTATACCAATGTCATATTCTGGGTGGGAGCACTGCTGTAACAGCATATTTCTCAAAATATACAAGAATGTTTGGAAAACAATAATCTATGCCCTTGTATAAATATATTTTATATGAGAGAAATCATGAATGAATAAAAATAAAATTGGCACTAACAGTGGGCACTGGGGAAGGAACACAGAAGTATAAGACACACTTCTTGCAATCAGGAAGACTGTGGGAAAGGACAACATACTTATAAATATAAAGAGAATGCAAGTCAGCAAGAAAACCAAAACGGGGACACAAGCAAATGACTGTGAAAAAAAAGAATGCCCCTGTAAAGGCTAAAATCACTTGGAAAGTGAAGATAATGGACAGATAGGCAGAAGGCCAGGGGACAGGGGCAAAGATCCTTATAACATGAAATGGCTAGATCTGAGATATGCTTGTAGGGCAATGAGAATGCTGGACAGAAGGGTAAAGGTGAAGTGAAGCCGGGGAAGTAGGATAAAGACAGTCACCAATGCTTCTGTATAGAGAAGTAAGGTAAGGAAGGCATGCTCACTGACTCATGAGACTTGGCTGTTCCTAGGGACAGTTGCTCATCACTGTGGTAATCTTAACAAACCACAGGTGCTTAAATATTTACCAATTTCACTAATCAAGTACAACCTCTTATTTATTTATTTGTTTCTTCACTCATTTATTTTTAGTGAGGGCTAGTACTAGCTTAATCAGGCCTTGAGTTCTCACTTGGCTTTTTCATGCATAGCTGCTGCTCTAACACTTGAACCCTGCCTCCATTTCCAGCTGTAATTAGAAATGAGAGTCTCCCAGATTTGGCTGCCCAAGTTCACTCTGAACTTGGATCAGATCTCAGCCTGCAGCTAGGATTATAGGTGTATACTACTGGTGGCTGACCAATCTCTAAAGTTTTAATACTTTAATTTCAAAATCAACTAATCACTTCCCCAGTATTTAAAGGGCATTGCATCCAAGAACCCTAAGGAAATAAAAATCTGAGAGACTCTACTTATCCAGGAGGCTGAGATCCCAAAGACAAGTGGGTTGAAGTCAGACCAGGCAGAAAAGCCCTTAGACTCTATCTCTTAAATAACTAGCAAAAAGCAGAACTTGACGTGTGATTCAAATGGTACAAAGCAAACAAAAGCTAAAAGCCAATAATGTAATTTTACAGTCATTTTCAGGGAAACCAAGCTCATAGAGACAACGACATGTGTTTTCTCTCATATGCAGAAGTTAGATCTAAAAATACAACAGGACACAGTAAATTATATAGGACTCTTCCTATACATTTTAAATCATCTCTAGATGACTCAAGACATCTAGTACAATGTAAATGTTATTATGCTGTATTGTTCAGGGAATAATCACAAGAAATAAGGTCTGCATATGTTTAATATAGATGCAAGTTTTCTTCAAGTATTTTGGATCTGTGGTTGGCACAAGGAAGAGAGGGCCAAGTGTAAATTCATGGGGTTTCTTTCACCCAAACACCACCAACAAGAAAAGAATATTTACCACAAAACATTCATTTCACTTTATGAAATGCTCTGTGCTTCAGCCAGGTAGGTGTCTTCAACATTCTCTCCATTATCTTATTGTTACATCCTCCACATCTTTGGTTAGGCTGTTTATCTACTTAGAAAAGCTCCCTTTCACCTAACTGCTTTTGTTCTAAGAATGGGCTTTTAGGCAGATAAACAAGCTATGTACTTCCCTCAATACCTTTTTTTAAAAATAGTGGAACAGAGAAAATTTCTTTCTAGCTTGGGCTGGGAAGGTGGCTCAGTGGTAGAGTGGTAGAGTGCTTGCCTCACATGTATGAGGCACTGGGTTCGATTCCTTAGCACCACATAAACAAAAAAGGCCGGAAGTGGCACCGTGGCTCAAGTGATAGAGCATTAGCCTTGAGCTGAAGAGCTCAGGGATAGTGACCAGGCCTAGAGTTCAAGCCCCATGCCTAAAAAAAAAATCTTTCTAGATTCTAGAGGGAATTACAAATAGAAAGAAATGTGACACCAGGCTAAGGGTATATAATTCAGTGGTACAGTGATTGCCTACCAAGCATGAAGCCTTGGATTCAATTCCCACCTAGTACCAGAGGGGAAAAATACAGGCAAGAAATAATAGGCACATTTTGTGATACAATTAACTAATAAAAAGGAAAGAAATATATCATAGATTTAGTATATTTCAGGAATCTGAATCACACATTCACTTCATGACTTTCACCCATCTTGACTGGGACATGAAATTTACACATTTGATCTTACTCATTTCAGAATCTTTATTTTTAGCCTTGAAAAAGTGGTGTGGTTTGTTAAGGAGGTACTTGTTTTCACAGCTAGAATAATTAACGATAAAACTTAAAAGCCACCTTTTCCAGTGCAATGGAAACTTCATTATTCCTGCTTCAATAGCCTTTAGTCTTTCTTTTTTTTAAAAAAATGAAACCCTCACTGAATACATTCATTGAAAATTTAACTTGTTACGAAATGAAGTCTTAAAATCATGGACTCTTTTACTACTGAGTTTATTTTGCTCCTTCCCCCCCCCCCCGCCCTAAACAGTACTGGGCTTGAACCCAGGGCTTTGCTTTTTATTTAGTTTTTCATGCAAAGCTGATGATCTACCACTTGAGCCACCCCTCCACTTCCAGCTAACAGCTGGAAGATAACTGGAGATAAAAGTCTCCAGGACTTACTGCTTTGAATGGAGATCTTCCAATCTCTGTATGAGCCACCACTGCCTGGCCTATTTTGCTCTTTTAAAAGATACTTTTGGGGGGGGGGGAGCAGGGGAGTGGATAAAATCCTCTAGGTTGTACTTTAAAACACAGCCAGTATCCAAGCCCTTCTTAGCTATCGACCTGCTCCAAACCACTATCCCCTCTTCCATATAATATGAACATAGGTTCTGGATGTTAATTCCCTATCCCTACCTCTCCTTCAGTCTATGCTCAACAAATCATCCACTGTGATTGTATTTTAAAAAGCTGTCAAATTACCCGCCTCTGTTTAAAACTCTTAAACGGCTTTGCAAATCATATGGAATAAAAGGTATCTTGCTGGGTGCTCAATGCCTACCATCCTAGGTACTCAAGAGGCTGAGATCAGCTGGGTGCTGGTGGCTCACACCTGTAATCCTACCTACTCAGGAGGCTGAGATCTGAGGATCACAGCTCAAAGCCACTCAGGGGAAGGAAAGTCTGTGAGACTCTTATCTCTAATAAGCCACTCAGAAAACCGGAGTGGCACTGTGGCTCAAGTGGCAGAGAGCTAGCCTTGAGCCCAGGGACAGTGCTTAGGGCCAGAGTTCAAGCCCCACAACCAACAAAAAAAAAGGGGGTGGGGGAAGGCTGAGATCTGAGGATTACAGTTCAAAGCCAACCCAGGCAGAAAAGCCCATGAGACATCTCCAATTAACTACTAAAAAAAAGCTGGAAGTGGAGCTGTGGCTTAAGTGGTAGAGTACTACTAGTTTTGAGCAAAAAAGCTCAGACAGTGAGTTCAAGCCCCAGGACCCACACACAAAAGGTTTCTTATTACCTGTTTACTTCTTGGACCTCACCTCCTGCTTTCCCCTTACTCATTCTTCCCATCACTCTGCTTTCTTGCTGTTGATAATCTGCCCTATCCTAGGAAGCTTTGTCTGGTACTTCTTTTAAAATGTAATCCTTAAACCAGGTGCCAGTAGGAGGCTCAGATGTGAGGCTCTTGAATTGATTCCAGCCTGCACAGGCAAGTCCAGAAAAAAGCTGGAAGTGGAGCTGTTGCTCCAGTGGTAAGAAGCTAACCTTGAGCTAAAAAAGCTCAGGGGCAGAGCTTAGACCCTGAGTTCAAGCCCCAGGATCAACCCAATAAATAAATAAATAAAATGTAATACTCCCCATGTGATAGTAGTTATCAATATAGAACTTGCAATGTGCTCTATTTATTTTATTTTTTATATTCCCCTAATCCTTACCCACTTGAGATGGAAGGCACCATCAGGGATTTTGTTAATTTTGTTACTACTGTAATCTCAGGGCCTAGAAAACAGGAGCCCCATCTTGTGTTTAGTGAATGAGAGTTAGATATCAAATACAAAATTTACCTAAGGAACACATATTGTGTATCACAGAAAAATAATTTTGAAAATTATCTTTGAATATAGTGATCAACTAATAATCTTTTATGGTACCTAAAGATTAAGTATTTTAGTTCTAAGATAAACATTGAAAAAGCCTTCTTCCACCTCTACAATTGTGAGTATAGGCTTTTTTGAGTACAGACTATTTTTTAGAAGTGTTTATTTAATTATAGGTCATTTTATGACTTGAGTGACTCCTTAATGGCCTTGACCCTAAATGATCTTAATGAGGGAGAGCATGCTTGAATTCTCTATCTTAATTTTGGTTTCTACTTCACCAAATCTAGTATTATCAAGTGAACAGCTATTGTTCAAGTAAAAACCACGGATATCAACTGTTAGCTTTTCCATAGGGAAAGTTCAGATAAATGGTGATTTTTCTGAAGAATGCATAGCCATAGTACAGATATGTTTCTTACACGATGTAAGATTTAGGTCATTTCTCACAGTGGCAAGTACCCATTTTGTTTGGTCTTCCTGTTAGGTTTTCTATATTTTCTGTTTCACTCACTGCTATATCTTTGAACCTTTTATGGTGCTGGGTACAGAGTGGGCTCTTCATACCAAGTAGTACTATTCAGTTTTGTTACTTAGAGGGCTTCCTTAGGTGCCTGATAGCTGCTCCAGATTAAAGTATGTCAGGCAATAGTGGATTATATTTGAAGATAAATTTGTCACACTCGGTTACAGTAGAAATATTATTCTACCTGGATAAAATCACCTGGCATTTCCAAATGAACACACTGTGTGTATGCGTGTAGTCATTTGCTGCATAATGATGCTTCCTCCCATCAGTAATGAATGGCATGTATGGCAGTGACCCCATGAAATTACAGGGACATAACTATTCATACTAGCCAGTGACATCACAGACATCATAACATAGCAGCACAAGGCAATGCTCGCAAGTGTGTGGCGATTCTAGTATACACAAACTGGCTGTGCTGTCCACTACATATATAAATGTACAGCACATACAATTATGTCCAGTTCACCTGGTGAACGATAATAAGCAAGTGTACAGCTGGTGTATCTATTTATGATACTATACCTGTTATTTTAGAATGTACTCCTACTTAAAAAAACAAAACCAGCTTACTATAAAACATGCCCTGCTGTGGAGGCGGCAGCCTTGTATGTCTTGTGTTTCTGTGTCTCTAGACTGCATCATTTTCTGCTGTGCTTGATTTAATCTTGTGTTGATGGTTCACCTGACCCTACACTAAGCGTACCTGTCACATGGCCTGGTGATACTATGTATAGGACACAGGTTAGGCTCAGGTAAGGACACCGACGTTACAACAAGGACTCCTTTCCCCCAAAGAAGCTAGTGCACCTGTCAAGACGATCAAAACCCTAACACCTAAGTGCTTTCAGAGTGGGTGGATTTAGATGGCTGACTTGGAGGCTTGGCTCATACCCGGGCCCCAAGTATGTAGTGGTCTAAGGCCTGTGGATTCCGCCCTCGTCCTCGCCCGTTTCACGTAGGAGTCGGTGCACAGTCCACGTGGCCTCCTCTACCCAGCGGTCTCGGTGTCTCCCCAAACTTCTAGTTTAGGAAAACGCCTCGATTAGTAATGCACGGCGGCCATGATGGGGCAGCGGCATACTAGCATGAAAAGGCGTCGGAACGCTCTCGGCTCGCTAATTATCTGTTGTGAAGTTACACGCTGCCGAGAAGCTTAATTACAGACAAGAGTGAATCATTCAAGCCGTCACCGTAGCGTCAGCACGCCGCCATCTTCCCAGGGTGGGCCCACCACTTCCGGTGACGGGGAGAAACTACAAGTCCCAGCGTGCCGCGCGGCGCGAAGCGCTGAGAGGAACCAAGAAAAGAGTCGCGGTGGATTGTGGAGCTTGTAGTGACCGGCCCCAACTCCACGTCGCCGCCTTGAGACTTACCAGACCCAGCCACTACCAAGAGACTGAAACACTCCCGGGGAATAACCTCCTTGGTCCGAAGCACTATCCATAGTCGCAGGCCGAGGACGACCGCCACAGCGCCTATCGCGACGGCGAGAATAAGCATACCATGCGAAGAAAGGGCGCATGCGCACTGCTCCTGGCGCCGGCAAAGTGCGAGACTTACGGGAGCCGGGGGGACTCAAACGCCGAGCGCGGCGCTTCCAGGTGGGCGGGGCTTACCAGAGATGGGCGGGGTTGAGGGCGGGAGAGGAAAAGGCGGGCTTTGCCGGCAGTCGGGCCTTCTTCCCTACCGGATTTTAAGGCGCTTGTCGCCTGGAACCTAAGCCGAGACATCCTAGACGTCTGCTGATGAGGTCAGGCCGTCTGTGGGTCCGAAAGGCTCTGAAGTTATCTCGTTAGGAGTTCCAGCTCTACTGACTTTTGGCTGAGGCTAACAGATTACGTCAGTCCTTCCTTCTGTCCAAACGGATCATCTGAAATTCTCCCTCCCTTCCTTTCCACCTTCCCTTCTTCCTTCCTATTCCTCCTAGTCCTCTCTTCCTCTCTTCTTCCCTCAGATCTTCTTCCCCTTCCTTCTCTCTCTCTCTCTCCCTCCCAGCCTTCTTTCCCATCCCATTCTTTCTGTCCCATTCCTTTTCCTTCACTTCTCTCAAAGGACATGTTGCTTTTGCTTAACAGACACAACTGAAGGTTTTGCCAGTCACATTTCATACCTACTCTTTCTGAACACTTTTGTTTTTTAGTTTTCTAGGTAATTTCACAGATCTCAAGCAGGTGATCACCTGGAGTTATACCACATTCCCTAGAGAAATGGAAGTTCCCCGAAACAGAGTAGCTACTCAGTTAATTTTACCCCAAAACATTCTCACTTTGTTCCCCATGTCCTCAGCCAAAGTCACCACCCCCTCCAGTCCTAGTGATACTTGTGTTGTGGTGAGTGTGTGTGTGTGTGTGTTGCCAGTCACAGGGCTTGAACTCAAGGCCTGGGCACTGTCCCTGAACTTCTTTTGCTCAAGGCTACCAAACTCTACCACTTGAGCTACAGCACCACTTCCAGCCTTCTCTGTTTATATGGAATCAAACCGGGGCTTCATGCATGCTAGGCAAGCACTCTACCACTGAACCACATTCCCAGCCTATACTTGTTTTTATGTCTACTTTCATACTGCGGTTAAAGAAGCCCCTTGACTCCAAATGTGATTTTCCTTTGAATTTCCATATACTTGTAGGTTACACAGTACAGGTTAATAGGTGAGTAGGCTAATTTTCCAAAGTGGAATAGTGTCTGATCTAGAAATAGAAACCAGTAGTCCTAACCCCTGCACTGTAAGAGCACCACATCATGCACCCCTTAGCTAAACTCAGCTTGTTTGATGGTCATCTTTGTGCAGACTCTCAGAATGGAAAAACTGATTGTATAAGCTGATCTCAGGGGCTACCCTTGAAATTCTGATTCAGAAGCTGTCTGGTACACTCTGAAAGGAGGGATAGAGGGGGGGGTAAGTTTGACTGAGGAAATTGTATATATGAATGGGAATTCACAAAACCCTACTTGTACAGCATTCTATCTATCTATATATATAATATGCTAGAAAAATATTTAAACTGTCTACTGGGTGAGCTGAATCCTGGGCTATATCAAAATGTGCAGATAATCAAGGGATCAGGAGGTTAAAGTGAATTAATCAAGAATGTTAAGTCTGAGCCAGAAGAAGCAACAACTGAAATTTCTTAGAAAGTGCACACACTGACAGCACAGATAACAGATTCTACAAGAAAGAAGTTGGCAACCATATGAGTGTGGTTCAAATTAATCATGAACAAAGCTTGCCCAGGAGGTGATTATTTTTAATCTATTTCCTAAAATTTCTATGGTAAACATCTATTTTTTCATTCATATTGTTAAATTTTCTTTGTGTGTTTGGGGGGAGTAGGTACTGGTTAGATGGTGTCATTTGCTACAAATAAATGGGACTAGAGGAGAAAGAAACCTTTGTGGGTAGGGAAGAGGGAGGAGAAGAGGATGAAAATGAAATGTTCTGTTTTGCAGTTTGGTTGGAATAACCTGTTAAACATGCAAGTTGTTATATCAAATAAGCAGTTATATGTAGAGATCTGAAGCTTAGGTCATATTTAGAGGTACAAATTTAGAATTCATTAGCATATGGATGGTATTAAAAGCCCAGGGTTGGGTAAGATCTTCTAAGGTGGTAGGTCATTCCTGTCCAATAGAACTTTCTGTGTTGATGGAAGTGTTTTGTACCTGTGGTGTACCCCCTCCACATCTTCCTAATGAAATAGACCTAGTAATACTGAGAAACTGAACTTTCTTTTAATATTTTACCTCATTGTGTACATATATATCCATATATATTTTTTTTGAGACAGAGTTTTGCTGTATCCCCTGAGGCTTATCCTTCTACCTCAGCCTCTAAAGTGCTGGGGTGGTGAGAGTTTGCTACCACAACCAGCTCCATTATCCTAAATCTAAAAAAGATTGTGTACCTAGTATCTGCTGTATGAGACAGCACAGCTAAAGAAGAGTTTGGAGTTGCTTACACAGTCTGGCAGAGGGGATGGAGGAAGACAACTCGAGGAAATGAGAGAAAATTAGGAAAGAATAGTATCGGAAAAGTAGAGAAAGGAAAACAACTTGAGAAGGAAAGTTCAGCCAGCTGTGTCACATGCTGCTCATGGGTCGGGTCAGGGGACTCTGGGACAAGTCAGTCTCTGAGCATGTAAACAAGAGTAGTGTTCCTCGGGATGACATGCTGGAAATCAGACAGGAATGAGCAAAAAAGGAAATTGGAGATAAAGAAAAGCAGAAGACAGTGTTTCATGTTTTTCTTTTATGGGAAATAGGTATATGAGGTGGTGATAGAAGGGAATTTGGAACCATTTGTGGAACCATTTGATGTTTGATTTTGCTTTTTTTCCCCCCTCAAACTGCTGAGTATTGAACCTAGGGCCTTGGAATACAAGGCGCATGTTCCCACACTGAACTCCACTCCTAGCCCCAGGAAATGTATTTTTTAAAATTAAATTTGTTAAATAAAAGAATATTTGCTGATACAGCAGAGGAATGTTGACACAGGATGCAGGGAAAGGTTTGAAGCTGATGAAGAATGGGGCTTGGTCCGATGGGGGTTTTTCCCTTGAACTATGGAGAGAAGGCTCGGGATGACTGTGCATGCCCACAGTGAACAGGGACGTGGGCAGGCTATTTATTTGAGTTCAGATCTACTAGTGCTATTTTTCATCAGACACTAGGCAAGGCACTGAGGGTCCAGTGGTAAAGTGATAACAGTTAACACCTAAGCAGTGACTTAACAATAAGCCTGACTATGTACAGCAGGACCCAGACCTCTTGGCAGGGGTCTCCTAGAGAAAAGCCACCCATCTCATGGACTGGACTGCTAGAGATTCTGGCAGGCCTCTTTCTGCCAGAGTTCAACCATCAATCCTAATGAAGGTAGAGAAGTATGGACAAAGAAGACTGAAGCTTTCCTGTAAGAACCCCAGAGACCACTTTGATTAGCATTATGCTTGTCCATGACAAGGTAGGATAACTCCCAGAGCACTCAGTCCAGGTTAGATACAGAGTTGGGGCCATTACTAATGGCTATATACCTTACCGTTAAGTTAGGGGACAGGAATTGTCATATATATATATATATATATATATATATATATATATATATATGCCTTAGTTATAGGCAAGAATTTTTCTTGTCAAATATTCGAGTCTCTGTTAGTGCCCCAGTCCTCTCCCGAGTAGATTCTTTAGATGGTAAGCCTTGAAACAAAAGCAGGTATTTACGACTTCTATTAATTAGCATTCACCGTGTGCTTGCTCTATGCCAAGCCCCAAAACGTGAATTGACTATGTTTTGAGATAGACTCTATGTGATTCTCATTTTAAAAATGAAGACACTGAGGTACAGAAATGTCATACAGAAAGTGGTCAAATCAGGATTTGGTCATAATCAATCTGATTCTGTGGTCTACCCCTTTATCATCAATAGTATCATTAAAATTAATTGTTGCCGGGCACTGGTAGCTCATGCCTGTAATCCTAGCTACTCAGGAGGCTGAAATTGAGTATGGCAGTTCAAAGCCAGCCCAGGCAGGAACATCTGTGAGACTTTTATCTCCAATAAACCACCAGAAATCCAGAAGTGGCACTGTGCTCAAGTGGTAGAGCGCTAGCTTTGAGCTGAAGAGCTGAGGGACAGCACCTAGGCCCAGAGTTAAAGCCCCACAACCGACAAAAACAAAACAAAACAACAACAAAAAATCAAATTGTTGTATATTAATACCAGCTACTGTACTATATATTAAAGAAAGTTAGAAAGAGCAGTATTATTTTCTATTCCTGACTTTCCATTTATAAAATTAAATAGGAAAAAGATTTTTAAATGTTTTTTCTTAAACATTCTAGTAAAGAACTGCATTACTGGGGTTGGGAAGGTGGCTCGGTGGTAGAGCGCTTGCCTTGCATGTTCGAGGCCCTGGGTTCAATTCCTTAGCACCACGTAAGCAAAAAGAAAAAAGCCGGAAGTGGCGCTGTGGCTCAAGTGGTAGAGTGCTAGCCTTGAGCTGAAGAGCTGAGGGACAGTGCCCAGGCCCAGAGTTCAAGCGCCCAGGCCCAGAGTTCAAGCCCCACGACTGCACAAAAAAAAAAAAAAAAAACAGAATTGCATTACCTTTTTTATAGCTTTTTTTTTTCCAAGTGGACTGAAAAAGGGTTACCACATATATATGTATTTATATTTATTTTTTTTTTTTGCCAGTCCTGGGCTTGAACTTAGGACCTGGGCACTGTCCCTGAGCTTCTTTTTGCTCAAGGCTAGCACTCTACCACTTGAGCCACAGCACCATATCCAGCTTTTTCTGTTTATGTGGTACTGAGGAATTGAACCCAGGGCTTCATGCATGCTAGGCAAGCACTCTACCACTAAGCCAAATACTAAGCCTCTATACTGTATCTATATAAAGTCTTCGACATTTGCAGATGGCTCACACCTGTAATCCTAGCTACTCAGGAGGCTGAGATCTGAGGACCATGGTTTAAAGTCAGCCAGCCAGGAAAGTCCCTGATACTCTTATCTCCAATTAACCACAAGAAAGCTAGAAGTAGTGCTGTGACTCAAAGAGGTAAAGCAC